GCGCTTCGCGCTTGGTGATGTGAGACCCTGGTCCGGTGAGAACCCGGCATGTTCCGTCCCGGCTTTGTGGGGATGCGAGGTCAATGGTCTAACGACTACGGCAGGCACGACTATGAGTACCCCCCCCCCCCCCCCTTTGAGTCACTTCGTCCAGATTGACCAGCCAGATATCACCTGGTAAACACGTACGGGGGGTGCATGCACCTTGCACCGGGGGGCAAAAGTGTATTGTTGTACCGTGTACTCAGGCCCCGCCATCCCTATCTCATCCCTAAGTCAGGCCCCTGTTACAAGGCCGCGTATTCAAGGCCGGCAGCCCTGTATAAGGCCGGTGAAATCGCTTGCCACAGGTAAGGAATATTCAATTTGTCTCATAGAAGAGTGTCGGGTGCCCCATATCTACAAGGCCAGTGTTTTTTTCCCTGCGGCCTAAAACTTGGACTACCTCTCTGCTGCAGTCTCATGTGTCTCACCAATTCAAGTTGTCTCGTACTCTGAACAGTGCCGGGTGCCCTATATTAGGCCTGTGTTTTCCCCTGGACCTAGAGAGCGGCCTTAAACAGGGAACTACCTCTGCTGCAGTAGTCGCATCTGTCTGCCTCACCACGTTGGAAAGGCGGTCCCCCCTCTTCTGCAGCTCCTGGGAGAACCGGTACGCCTGCTCGAAAATCTCGGCCGCGCTCAGCTGCCGCTTGAACCCCATCTGCACGGCATTTTCGAGCAACGGTTCATGGTGCACAACACAGCAGTCGAGTTGGCGATTTTCGACATTTGGGGTCAGGGGCGGGGGCAGGGGGGTTGCACTTTTCGAAGTTGTCATGTTTCGTATAAAACGTTCCGAAGTTGAAAATGAATCAAGCAATCTATACTCTCAAACCCTTCGTTTTGCTGTAGACTTTCGCGGTAGAGAGTCTGAAGTCGGAGGACCATCTCCTCCACGAAATCGGCTACCAGCTGAGCACACCTTTTAGAGATAAAATATTATTTCACCTTCTGGACCTTCCATTGACCACCCCTACCCCCTTGTTTGTTCTGTATTTCTTGCTTCCGGTTCTGTTCTCCGTTGTCTTGGCCTTGCGCGTTGCCTTTTCTACCTGGTTGTTAAAACGAATGCTTCAAGAAAATACTTTCGGTGTCTTGCCTTATTTTTCGTCTACGTTGGATAAACAAACAAAAAAAACTCAGTAAATTAAGTTGCTGTTCTCGCTTCCTTTGTCGTGAGTGCCCTTGACGACACGACTCACGCACCTGACCCGTCGCGCAGAAGACGCAGCCCATGGCGCACCCGGCCTGCGACGAGATGCAGGCCGTCCTCCGGCCGTCCGAGTAGGGCATCAGCACCGACTCGATTATCTGCCCGTCCGACAGACGGTACGCCAGCTTCTTCGTGCCGTCCTTGCTCACCTGCCTGGCAGCCACCTTCTCGTTGCGGTATTTCCATTTTCATCCCATTCCATCCCATTCCGTTCATTTTATGGAACATGTAGATGCATTTTTCGTTTTGCCGCAAGAGAAACAACAGAACAAGCAAGACGACACAAATATAACGACAAAAGGAAATGTTCGCGCGAGGGGGAGGAGGGGTCAACGATGGTTTGGTACTTGGATGTTTATAGATCCCAACCCGAATGCTCGCCACGTCCTGATTCGTGGGGAAACGCACATATATTAGAGCGTGGGCAGCGGCTGGTCGAAAGCGATCGCGGGGACTGGGCCGGTGGTTGTGTGCGTGTTATTATGTGTGTTTACCCTGTGGTTGCTGTCAGCGACAATTGACCAGGCCATCCAGGTGACCCAACAGGCAGAAGAACAACCAACATCTCATGGCGGGGACAAAATCACAGTCATGCTCTCGTCCGCGGGATCCCCGCACAGGGGGGTGGCAACCGAGGGAACTGGACGGCACGGTACTGCTGCAGCGCGCAAGTTTGCGTTCGTACCTCTAGAGCACCCACGGTGGCCACCTTGGCGAGCTTGGCCCGCAGCGTCTTCGGGATGTTGGCCATGTCCTCGAAGGACTCCGCTCCCCCCTCGAAGATCCATTTCAGCACCTGCATAAAAAAAGCATGACCAAGACATGAAACGCCCCATATTTTACTCAACAGTTTTACGATGGTACCGCCGCCTCCCCCCCCCCCCGGCGCGCGCGAGGGTCAACTGCACCGCTGCTGGGTGACGACTGAAACACAAGACAAGGAAAGAAAAACAGAACGAGTTCAAGTATGTGCACAATCTTCCAAGATGTGGTATTCGTTCTGGTAGGTGTGAGTGGTACATAAAACAACACGCCTCCATCGAGATAAACACTTGAGCACCTGGAACGCGCAACGAAAAGACGAGTCTAGTGCCCAGGAATGACAAAAGCTGTTTCCCTCGCAAAGGTAACGACAACAACAACAGAACCGATTTCTACTGTACACACTTGTAACACGGCATGTATTCCCGTATGTTTCAACGCACGTCACATTTCGGTGTCGCGGTGTCGCGGCCTGTACACGGTACACCGCCGTACAGTAGTAGTGGTAATGTTGCGTCTTCCTCCAGAAGTGCTCTGAAATCCAAGAGGGTGGGCTTTGTCTTTCCAGTCTTGTCTGCGTTACTGCCGTACCTGTTTGGCACGAAACTTGGGCTCCCCCATTGCCACCAGGAATGCCTCAACCTCCGCATTGCTCATCTCCAGCAGATTCACCTGTGTTAACATGCATACACGTCGTCGTGTGGCAGCAGGCAGAAGTTTTGGAGAGCGCGCGTGGCTGTACGGAAACACACGAAGCTCGGGGATAGCTAAAGTTGCATAGTAGAACTTGACGGTAACACATGCTCTACTAGATTAGAAAGATCATAGGTGGGAGCACGGCGGGTTGTTGGCTCAATCGAGACATCGATCATAGGGGCACCATACGTCCCTCTGCCGCAGCATCTGATCAATAGGCGAGCTGCGTCGTTTCTGCCCAAGGATGTAGCTCCGATCTCAGTTCTTTGATGGACATGTTTCACGTCCTGGTGATGGATGGATGAATACAACGGTGAGTGCGCGGTACTGCTGTACGGCTATCCCGCATCTGTTTCTGGAGGGGAGGCGCAGGCATGCACATCTGCTGCCTTGTTCGATTTTCCAAACGGCAGTGGCGAGCTCGAGCACTAACCTTGAATGGCGCAGGTCCCTCCTCCTTCCCCTCCTCCTCTCCCTCCGTTGCCACTGCCTCCAAGTCGCCCTCAACCCTGGTTGCCGCTAAGCCAACAACAGCAGGCGCGGCCGTAGCAGCCCGCTCCAGCGACGAAGAAAAGCAGCGTTGCGACGGTCTTCTCACAGCTCCCGTCACGCAGGCAGGCGCGGCCACCACGCTCCTCGAAGGACAGGCCGCTACCCGCGGCCTCCTCCGCTGTACTGCTGTCGCTGTGACGTGGCCCCTCTGCTGCTGCGGCCTCGATATCCAAGTTGACGTTGTACTGGACGGCAACACGAACCCCGGTGTTGCTGTTGCTGTTGCTGCTGCTGCTGCTGCTGCCGCTGCCGCTGCCAGCGACTGCCCCCCCCTTCGGTTGCCGCCGACGAGGAGCCGCGCCCGCGAGGCCGTGAAACCAAGCCCCCCCCGCGGGATCAAGCTAGCCGCCGCGGCGGTCGGCAGGGGTGCCATCCCGCCTTCGGATGGGGAGGAGGAGAGGCAGCAAGATGCGGTGGCGGCCAGCCAGAGGCCTCGCATTTGTCTGTGGCTCTTTTGGCTTCTTGTGTAGGGGGAAGACTACGAGATTTTCTTGGGAGAATAGAGGTTGGTTCAATCCCTCGGAGGCAAATGGACCTGCGAAGAGAGCGTGGGTGGTAGAAGACGCCACAGCAGCAGCGGTCGGCACTGCTAACGCGGTCGGCAGCAGGAGCAACAGTGAAAATGTGCGGCGAGATTGAGAGCAATTCGGGAGTTCGCCTTGATTGGCATTATAAAGCGGGAGAATAAAGCGACGGTTTCACTTTGTTTTTCGTTCTCGACTTCCGCCGCTCAAATCCAATGCCGCCGCAGAGTGTTTACATGTCGGAATGATTAAACCGATCTTCTTTTCTGTCTCACATGACCCTTCAGTGACATCAGCAACATTGTGGACAACAATATCGTTCGCAGCCACGCAGCATCCCAGAGACAACGTCAACAGCGAAGCTCACCGTGACAGCAGCTGTAGTCTATGTATCTCGTCTTGCTCGATGGGCTCCGCCGTGAGCGCGCCGATCAAACAGCAGGCCAAGGCGCTCAAGGGCCGGCGCTACATGCGGGGCATGCTCCCGGAGAAGTACTTCGAGGTGGTTGTGAAGAAGGAGCACGGCGAGTTGTTGGATATACTGGGCTTTACCGAGGAAGAGGCCTTCGAGATATTTGTCCAGGTACATCAGATCATGACATTGACCGTACGGTGCCACAGGAGGTGACTCGAACGAATCACAAGTGTGTGCCAAGGGAGTTTCGAGATACTCCAACGCTAGCGAAGGTTCAACAGCAAAGGAGCAGCGAGCTTGAGTAGGCTGCATGTCGTGAACAAAGGAGATATATCATACGAACCATGCGAAATCTCACACGGATTTCGGATGTCACCCAAGGCAAAACCTTCGTCTCGAGACGACCGCAAGTAAGCTGTAACATGGTACCAACACCGCCAATAGATAGTGCGTCACACAGACAGGACCCTCTCTTTATCCAAAAACAACATTTCGCGCAAAATAATGTAATGCTCGATGTATCAGGGCACCACTCTGCACGATTCGCAGTCTTCGTGTGTTGCCGGCGACCGTGCAACTCTTTTCTGGGTGTGTGTTTGATTTGTGGAATAGGAGAATAGCGTAGCCTTTCCCATGACGTCCCCTCACGGGGTCCCAGGTCATGACCTTTAGAAGTGTTGTCTGGTGTTCAGCCCACTTAGATTGACGTATTGTCATTGGTCAGCCGGTTAGCGCGGTCGGTACTAGTCGTAAAGACACACACACAGCTTTTCCACGGATGGTTCCCACAAGCGACTACAGCAGTAGAAGACATGGCAGGGTCCTGACAACCGACGATGCGTGATACTCGTACTTCGTGCCCCCCCCCCCCCACCCCCCAGTAACCCCTCCTTTTTCTTTGGGCCCCCCCCCC